TGCTTAGAGATCACGAGGGTTGATCTCAGAAATCGAAGAGGCGTTTGCTTTCTCAAAAGTTGGCTTCTCAAAGACCACGAAGGCCGATCTCAGAAAATCGAAAGAGCGCTCGCTTTCTCAAAAGCTGGGCTCCCAGAGACCACGAGGGCCGATCTCAGAAATCGAAGAGGCACCTACTTTTCCAGCCTTGTCAGCACCGTCACACGCACACTCAGCTTTTGCAGAAATTATGGGCATTCTGTCGAGAGATCTTCCGGTAGACAGGACTCTGGTAGGAACACCCAAACCCCTCGAGCCACCGCATCAGCCCATTCTGCCGGAAGACTTCTGGGGAAGAGAACAATCTTTACTGTTCAATCACCCACTTCACAGATAATAGCTTGGTACCACAATAACTTTGCCAAAGTTCTTGCCAAAGTTTGAGCACGTGAAGCTTGCAGCTCCCACATCGCTCTGACCAAGAAGGGTAAAAGAATAGCAAAGAAACAAGCACTAAAAGTTTAGACCCATAAATTTTGAAGGTCTAGCTACCATATTATTACCCACAAGGGTAAAGGAACAGTACTATTGCTGGATAATTGGAAAGTCCCTGTGTGTCAACCTCTGTGCTTCGTGGCAAGGTACTAGCAAACATGCCCAACCTTTACTCACATTCGAGAAAAACACTCCCAATAAGATTGCTTGCTCCAAAATCGAAGAGGCACCGTCCTCCGAATCTCGAGAGCCAGACTCCCAACATGACTACTTTCTTAAAAATCGAAGAGAGGGTAAAGGAACAGTACCATTGCTGGATAATTGGAAAGTCCCTGTGTGTCAACCTCTGTGCTTCGTGGCAAGGTAGACTAGCAAACATGCCCAACCTTTACTCACATTCGAGAAAACACTTCCAACAAGATTGCTTGCTCCAAAATCGAAGAGGCACCGCCCTCCGAATCTCGAGAGCCAGACTCCCAACGGTGATTACTTTCTCAAAAATCGAAGAGACACTGCTCCCCGAATCCTCGAGAGCCAGACCCCCAGCATGATTGCTTTCTCAAAAATCGATGAGGCATCGTTCTCCGAATCGAAGAGGCGCTCGCTTTCTCAAAAGCTGGGCTGCTCAGAGACCACGAGGGCCGATCTCAGAAAATCGAAGAGGCACCTACTTTTCTAGCCTTGTCAGCACCTGTCACACGCACACTCAGCTTTGCAGAAATTATGGGCATTCTGTCGAAGACTTTCTGGTGAAGTAGAAAAGCACATGAATCTTACTGTTCAATCACCCACTTCCCACACGCAACAATAGCTCATGGGTACCACAGATAACTTTGCCAAAGTTCTCTGCCAAAGTTGAGCACGTGAAGCTTGCAGCTCCCACTACATCGCTCTGACCAAGAAAGGTAAAAGAATAGCAAAGAAACAGCACTAACAAAGTTTAGACACATAAATTTTGAAGGTCTAGCTACCATATTATTACCCACAAGGGTAAAAGGAACAGTACCACTGCTGGATAATTGGAAAGTCCCTGTGTGTGTCAACCTCTGTGCTTCGTGGCAAGGTAGACTAGCAAACATGCCCAACCTTTACTCACTTTCGAGAAAACACTCCCAACAAGATTGCTTGCTCCAAAATCGAAGAGGCACCGTCCTCCGAATCTCGAGAGCCAGACTCCCAACATGACTACTTTCTCAAAAGCGAAGAGAGGGTAAAGGAACAGTACCATTGCTGGATAATTGGAAAGTCTCTGTGTGTCAACCTTTGTGCTTCGTGGCAAGGTAGACTAGCAAACATGCCCAACCTTTACTCACATTCGAGACAACACTCCCAACAGGATTGCTTGCTCCAAAATCGAAGAGGCACCGCCCTCCGAATCTCGAGAGCCAGACTCCCAACATGATTACTTCCTCAAAAATCGAAGAGACACTGCTCTACGAATCTCGAGAGCCAGACCCCAGCATGATTGCTTTCTCAAAAATCGAAAAGGCATCGTTCTCCGAATCTCGAGAGCCAGATACCACAGACCACTTTTTCAAAGTGCTCTGACAGAGTTAAAACATGTGAAACTGGCAGCTCCCACTACCGTGCTATGACCAAGCAGGGTAAAGGAATAGCATTACTACTTGTTGTTAGGGAGACTCCTATATATGTCGACCTCCATCCCCAACGGACAGGCAGACCTGCAAAAATGCTCAACCTTTCATCATATCTGAGAGGGCACTCCCAACGAAGCCTTTCGAAATATTCAGCTTTCTTTCCCCCCGATAATACCTCTGCAAACAAGCTATACTAGAGCAAGAATATCTCATATCATCAGGGTTAAAAGCAAGAGTATCCCATATCATGCTTTTTCCCTGTCTTTTTCCTTTGGCCTTGTTTTTACCTGCAAGACAAGGAGAAAGAGAGCAATCAGTCAGCACTTGGATCAAGCTTCCAGCCAGGAACTGACTGCCTGGAACCCCTTACCTGATTACTTACCTGGCATTGCTCTCGAGTACTCATCTTCAACATCTTATGTTTCCAGGGAAGATTCCGCATCTGCTTGAGGAACAGATAGGGCAAGTGCGAAGGATACAAGGAAGCATGTGGAGACAAGCGTAACAGCACACGTGCCGATACACCCATTACTCTGTCAAAAGCAAAAGTATCCCATATCAGCAGGGTGGAACGTACTCTAGATTTGATGGACTTGTTTTGACCCTCAAATTCTTCAGTCGGCCTTATATACTCTGGAGGAAACCAGAAAACCCTCCAGCTCAGTTCAAGAATAAGCCTGTGGAAAGTTACTTCTTCAAAAGCAAAAGTATCTCATATCATCTCTTCTCATTTTTCTTCTCTTTATCCTTCATGCTGCTGCAAGATGGGGAGAAGGTGAACAATCAGTCGGAGCTCTGATTGCTTACCTTGTCTGTCACCTCTGTCTGACCCTTTCAGCAGACCCCCTAGCTCGGCGACTTGGGGGACTCCTACTACATGTTTGTTGTATCGCGCTTGACCAAGCCTGAGACTACAAGTAAGCTTCAAGTGAAATTGATACATTACCTTGTGCATCTCCACCAGTTAAAAGATACCACCCCTGGATGGAAGAGAACTTCCAGAGAAGATGCCACATGATACCTAGATGAGACACATGATGGCAAGTCAAGACGACAAGAACACTCCGATACTTAGAAGTTTCGTGATTACGAGATCATTCATCCGACATATTTCCTAGATCATGTCCCACAATATTGTACCTAAATATCTAATGTCATTGTACTTACTCACTAAAGGAGAGCTTGAACCTATGTACTTGTGTGTAAACCCTTCACAATTAATGAGAACTCTTCTATTCCGTGGACGTAGCCAATCTAGGTGAACCACGTACATCTTGTGTTTGCTTTCCTATCTCTATCCATTTATATACTTATCCACACTAATGACCGGAGCAATCTAGCGAAGATCACAAAAAGCGACCGTTTTCGCTACCTAGGATCTATCTTGCAAGAGAACGGAGAATTAGATGGAGATCTCAACCATAGAATACGAGCTGGATGGATGAAGTGTAAGAGTGCATCCGGCGTGTTGTGTGACCGTCGTAGGCCACTGAAGCTCAAGGGAAAATTTTATAGGACGGCAATAAGGCCAGCGATGTTGTATGGCACAGAATGTTGGGCGGTAAAGCATCAACACGTACACAAAATGGGTGTAGCGGAGATGAGGATGCTTCGTGGGATGTGTGGGCACACGAGAAATGATAAGATTGGGAATGAGGATATCCGAGGTAAAGTAGGAGTAGCCGAAATTGTAGGAAAGATGAGAGAAAATCGGCTCCGATGATTTGGACATGTGCAAAGAAGGCCGACTGACGCTCCGGTTCGAAGATGTGACTACGGGACAGAGGTTCAGGGCCAAAGGGGTAGAGGAAGACCTAGGAAAACTTTGGAAGAGACTCTAAGAAAAGACTTAGAGTACTTGGATCTAACGGAGGACATGACACAAAACCGAGCGCAATGGCGTTCTAGGATTCATATAGCCGACCCCACTTAGTGGGAAAAGGCTTTGTTGTTGTTGTTGTTGTTGTAGTTTTTCTTTTATGAGTAGTAACTTGGGAAATGATGCTCAACAAACCTCGGTAACACGTCTTGATAGTTGTCAATACTCGACATAACACTTGAGCACTGTCGTTGAATCTCGCCATCATGCCTCAGCATCCATCGAGAAATTTCGATAGCGTGCATTGTAACTTGTTGACTAGGAAGACCAAATTTTATACTCCGTTCGTAAACCTAGCATTACCTGTCGAAAATCTAGGTAGCATGCCTCAATCGTCTGTTGATAGATTTCGACCACCTGCAACGAAAGTGTTTGGGTATTTGTCGATAAATTTTGATTTCATTCCTCAACGTAGATTTTGAGAACATACATATGAAGTTGTTAGCATCTATCGACAAATCTCGAACATCCAAAATGCTTTTTGATGTCCAAAAACATTTTAGTCATACTAGGACAAGTCCCAAACAAGTGGTCATGTGAAACTGACCAGCCCAAATAACATATAGAGTTTGAAGGGGACCCAATTCAACCGTAGGCCTTTTGAAGTCTTTAATAATGGGCCTGGGCCTTAGCTCATTTATTTATTTATTAAGTAAAGTATAGCAATAATTTCTCAACTTTAACTATATTGGAACGATAGTTCATCAACTCATCAAAACGTGCAGCTATAATCCTTCAACTAAAAATTCATTACCAATCGTTCATCAACTTTAATCTAATTGGAGAAATAGTTCATCAACTTTAATCAAATTGGAGAAATTGTTCCTCAATTTTAACCCAATTGTAGCAATGATCATTCCAACATAACTCATTTTGACAAAATTCTGACGAAGTTGACGAAAATGATCATAGCTACACGTTTTGATGAATTGAGGAGCCAATGGTAATGGACTTTTAGTTGATGAAATATTGCTCTAATTTAATTAAAATTAAGAGACTATTATTACAATTTTAATTTATTTTTTAAGACAAGGAGGATAAAATGTGTTGCATGTGGTATAGCAAATCACCAGCAAGAGGGAAAGAGGCGCGATGGCTGCTCAAGCGGGACGGCTACTGAGGCAATGGCCGATGTGGCAGCAGCATTGCTGCTCAAACGCCGCCTTCCACCACCTTATCTTCTCCCCTTTACTTCCGGTCACCACCAGAACCAACTCCCGTCGTCCGTCTTTGACCACCGTCCACCTGGCCACTCGCGGCGTCCATAAACTATTACGCGGTCTCAGACCGTCCGATTACCAAGACGCCAACACAGCCAGTTCGGGTTCGGGTTCGGATTCGGATTCAGTCACGTACAAGAGCCGTAACGAGTTGAAGCGCCACGCCCGCCGCGCCGTCCGTTGGGCTATGGACCTCGCGTCCTTCTCCACCCCTCAAATCAAGCGCATTGTCAGGTTCACCCCCCTAAAACATCAAATTTTGAAAAAAAAGTCCCTGTAAATTTAGTTATTTCGAGTTATGGATTTTAATTTGATTGGGATGCAGAGTGGCTTCTCTGGACCAAGACGTGTTGGATGCTGTGATCCTAGTGAAGGTGCTTGGTTAGTTTATTCTTTTCTGTTCAAACGAGTGTTAACTACTGATTCCAGCTGTTGCAGCTAAGGTGTTTGTGTTAATGCCGCAGAAATTAGGACCGGATGTTCGAGAAGGGAAGCGAAGGCAGTTCAATTATATTGGTATGTGATGCAACAACTTTGTGCCCTGCCTGGAATCTGTGTAGTTTAATCATTTCTTACACATTTGTGTATGCATTGTGAATTTGTGATCTTATCTTACAAAGATATGTTCAATTCGTGTTAAGGGAAACTGCTGCGGGATGTGGAGGCCGACTTGATGGATGCTTTGATTCAGGCTACGAAAGATAGCGACGAAAGTAAGCTGCAAGCTTTATCAGGTCCGGAGACATTGGAGGTTGATGATGTTGCCGACAAAGAAGAGGCGGAAGAAACTGATTGTGAGGAGGAAGAAGAGGTACGTTACATTTACTTTGTTTGAAATTGTGCAAGAAAGATTGCTGAAATTTGGTAAGTTGTTTATGGACATATTTGATCTGATTACTTGAGCATCGAATGCAGGGTTCTCACATTGATGAAGCAACCAGATGGTTTGATGGTCTGATCAGTAAGGACATTAAGATCACCAATGAAGTTTATTCAATTTCGAATGTTGATTTTGACCGTCAGGTAAGTTGAATGCCATCTAGACATCAGTGTCTTTAATGTCAAATAATGTGTTTAAACAGTCATAACGTGCTTCCTAAGTGTAAAAGGTTTTCAGTTCCATTGCTGCCTCGGTCACTTGTACTTCTGTTTTTCCGCCACATCCTTAATGGAGTGGGATGGTCTGATTAAGTGACACTGTTGATTTCCCGATAAAAAGTCATTCGCGAGGGCTGGTTATGGAGTTGGATTCACTTGAACCACCAGATTATGTAGAAGCCCAGCCAGTTTAGATTCACCTGAGTCAGTTGATTAACTCTCATGCCAATTGTTCAGTTATCGTAAGGGTGCACAGTGTTCTATTTCTTGCTCTGTGTTGCTAATGCTAGGTTCACTTGACAGGAACTAAGGAAACTTGTCCGAAGTGTGCATTCTAGATTGGAACAGAAGGTTGATTTGGAGGAAAATACGGGAAAGATTGATGCAGTGAGAGTGAGTGCTGAAAAGGCACTCACCAGGTTCCTTCTTTCCCTTGCTAAACGTAGCCTAGAGACTGATATATGATATTTTAGTTTCCATCATTATTTATGTGTCATTACATAATATTTCTTAAAGAATGCAGTTTTTGTTCTCTTGGTTGTACGGTGCAATTTTTTTTCTTGCATAGATTCACGTTGTCTGGTCTCGATAACAATTTAGTTCTTTTTTAGTAGTCCAAGTTGGTTAGTAATTCGTTACACACCAAGTATTTCTAGATTGTAGTTAGCCACCATGGGCAAGGGAGTTCAAATTCATAGGTTATACGGGCTTTGGTGCAAACTGTGTTGTCCAGTATCTTCCATTTAAGTTGTACAAAATCATTTTGTAGCAGTTGACCCAGTGTGTTCAGCCCAGTGGCATGACTAGGTTACGTTTGTCTAATCTAAGCGTATGCACATCCTATAGTCCTGTTACTCCACGTGGTTCTGTTGTCGTTGTCCAGTATGATTTAATTGTCTGAACAATGAACTTTTAGGCCTAACCCAGACCGGCTCCGCTTTATAGCCTCAGTTTTACTAGTTGAATTGTTGCAACAGAAAACGGAAAAAAAGAAGTGTAAAGGGAGTTGTGTGTTAAATGTTGAAGCATAGGATTTGGGTTTAAATCATACCAAACCAAAGCTTGGACTGACTATCACCCGCAGGGAAATGAAATAAAATCGTTCTAGCGGGCTTGTACTGAAAACCGGAGGGTTGAAATTCACGATGTATTTTTAAAAGTCGGTCCATTTGCCCTGTGTTCTCTCAATTAGATTACATCGTATAGGACCTGGCTTAGGAGGAGTTATTCCGTACAAACTCCCGCACCACGGGGCTGTCCGGCCAAAAATCCATTGAATGCGACCAGAAGGGGAGGGGTAGAGGGATAGAAAATAGGACAAAAACATATTACTCCGCCAGAAGGACAGACACATACACGCACTAGAGAATACAATAATTGGTTTGTCACGCTTCACACACAATATTGTTCTCCGAAGTTTTGGCAACCGACGGAAGCTGGTATTTGTATTGATTGAATCTTGTGGTAGCATATCTCTAACAATCTTGGAGACAATTTACGATATCACCAGTTGTACACAATCATGCATATATTTTTGTTGCATCACTTGAATCACATACTCATGTCGCCAGGGTTTTACCAGAACTTGGGTTGCACATGCAAATCTTCGTGCTCTTGTAGGAAGGCAAAAGAAGATATTTTCTGTTGTGATAAGAGCAAAAGATGACCTAAGAGTGTTTAGTCTAATGGTCAGGCCCTTGGTTTGTTACCAAGAGGTCTGGGGTTCGACACCTCTCAAGGTACCCACCTAGCAATTGCTAGAGTTTCTTGCCTACCAAATGTTGTGGGGTCAGGCGGGTGGCTTAGTGAGTAGTCGGGTCAAAGACCCGGAGACACTAGATTCAAAAAAAAAAAAAAAGAGCAAAAGAAGATATTTTATTTGGTCGGAGAAAATATCGTCAGGAAACTTCCTGTTTACAAGGAAAGGAGCTATCGGATGTTAGCTGTATTAGTAGCCTACGTTTATTTCATAACAATACATGAGGGCTGCTTTTTGATGAAATTACTGTTGTGGTCCTTAATCTCCTCGATATGAGCAAATGGCATGGAGGGAATAAAATTTTCATTGTAACGGGAACACGAGGCGATACGATATATATTATTATATAAGTAGAAAAAATCTTGTTTTTTCAAGTGTGTGCTCTACTTGTGTAACATCATACGGATTATGTATTTATGTTTCGAGGACACTGAAAATCTCTTGTTAATTGGACCACCACCATATGGGGAGTTGGATAAATTTCCTGTTAATTGGACCACCATGATGAGTATACGCCAGTTGTATAGAAGAGAGGCTTATTGGACGTAATTTTGACGGTATTTCAAATTAATAACGTATTGTTTGTGTATTTAATTTTTTTATATGACAATGCGTTATTAGTTTGAAAGCTCGTCACAATGCATGGAGTCTTATAAACAATTCAATCTCCAGTTTTAGTTTTTAAGTGACTACAATGAAATCTTCCCTTTTGATCCCTTTTGAACCTTTTGACGTCGTTAGTAAATTTAGTGTTGAATTGAAAAACGTGGTTTATGTATTTAATGAATAATATGTGGATGGATATTTCGGATTTAGTTAATTTTTTGCCTAGACGATCTTTAAAAGACTACTTAGAAGATAGACAACTTAGATTATTGAAAATCAATGTAAGATGATGAAGAGAAATAAGAAGGTTGCTAGGATTTTTCGTGTTGATATGTAGGCATTTTGTATTTGAAGTTGCCGTGATGAACGCAGGAACTCAACCCTCTCCAAACAAACATTATTAATTCTGCAACCCTTTTAACATCAAATTAGAGTCAACGAGCGGAAATGCTTAAGGAAATATGACAAAATTATTCAGGAATCAAAGTAGGGATGCTTAATTAAAAGGATAATTTAAATTGATAAATCGATCGATTAATGTAATTCGACACTTAAAACCCGAAGTGTCTCGTTTTCTCCCGTCTCCGGCGTTGAATAATGGTTGCCTTGACTGAGGTTGACACCATGGCAACAAGTCGAAGGATTGAAGAACCTAAACACGACCAGCCAATGACAGCTTTTGTACTACGTTCAACTGTTTCGGTCTAAGGTGGCTAATGGCTCAGATGGTGATTAATGGTCTTAATCATTTTAATTGAGTTTACGTTTTTTTGTCAAAATGGTCTTGGATATTGATATAATTTCTCGCTTTGATATCTGATAATGAAAATTGTTAAAAGTGGTCATTGAATTTGTTCATTGTAAATCATATTGGTTATTTCGTTATAAATCTGTCAATATTCTTGTTAAATTATCAGGTGAACAACTACATTACTACATTTTTAAGGATATTTTTGCCAAGAGTGGTGCTATCCACACATGCATTTTTACCTCCCACACAACCCTTATTAATTTTTGTCCTTTAATCTTTTTCAGTTCATTTGATCTAACAACCGAAATTGAGAGGGGTGTGTGGACAATATCACCCTTTTGTCAAACTAATACATCCACTTCACAAGGATATTGAAAGATTTCTCATAGAATGACCAAAATAATTTACAATGGATAAACTTAAGAACCACTTCTCTCGATTTTCAATGTCAGAAATCAAATAGAAGTTGTGTCAATCTCAGAAACTATTTTGACTAAAAAAAACCATTGCTTTTATGAAAAAAATGATCAACAAAAACTAATGAATCTGAGCATGCAGTTGCTTTCTTGTAAGATATTTTCTGGGGAACAGTATCTACTTCTTTCAAAATTATTGTGGTAGTTCAACAATTATATATATATATATATATATATATATATGTATATATGTAGCTTTTGTATGAGATTTTTCAAGATGACCAGTATACGGGATGGTATACCACGTGTCAATATATAAATGGTGGGATATGTGTGTTAAAAAGTTAATAACTTAAAAAGTAAAAATTTCCACTACTTATATAAAAAACACATGATGTACCTCTCGTGTTTCGATCATAATAAAAAATTTCTCGTTTTGTAGAACAGTCTTAAGGGAAATTGAGGCTAACCTTTTAATGCGCCTCTTTCTTGCAAATCGACGCCGCCCATTTGTTATGTATATAACAGATAGACAACTAGGAAGACGTATTTTGGTGAGACAAAGTTACGTAGTTTTTATAAATCGATATTCTAAACTAATTTATTTAAATTATACATAACCAAATTCAAATTTAAGTGTAAATACGGACACACGCTTTTTTAGTCATATTAAACTCATGTATACATTGCTAGGCAGTTACTAGGATCACTCAAACTCACAAAATTATATTGTTGGTTTTTAAAAATGTGTCCGTGTTTTATTTATTCACATATCTTATGTTACATGACATTATTCATTGACATGTTAGTGAAATACCAATGTGTATTTATTGGAGGACCAAGGGTCTCTCGCCTGCCATTAGGGTTACCACTTACCACAAAAAAGTGTTCCATGGAGCATGGACCATGAACTGTAGTATCTATCTATTCTATTAAGAGAAAAGGGCTTGTCAACTTTTTGCTCCCTTTTTTCTTATTTTGCTCTTACTTTTGATACACAATGTTGACATGAGGAGGGCAAAATAGTAATTTTGTATCTTTTGAACTTTTTGCCCTCACTTTTGATACACAATATTTACATAAGGAGGGCAAAATAGTAATTTTGTATCAAAATATTTACATAAGATAAAAAATATGCACTTATTAAGAGAAATTATGCCCCATTTTTTCTTTTTGCCCTCACTTGATACACAATGTTGACATGAGAAGGGCAAAATAGTAATTTTGTATCTTTTGAACTTTTTGCCCTCACTTTTGATACACAATATTTACATAAGGAGGGCAAAATATTTACATAAGATAAAAAATATGCACTTATTAAGAGAAATTATCCCACTATTATTTTTTCATATAGGTAAGTGAAATCATGATGTTTTTTGGATAGTTTGAATGAACTGAAGCGATTGCGCTTGAGGAGAACATGAAAGAAGATGAACGGTTGTTCACACACACAGAGTGTGTGCTCATCTGCTAGTATATATAATATAAACCACGATGGCAAGAGAAGGCGCTTTATCATCATGATTGGCAATGCAAGTGGTGACTTTTGGAATGATTTTATATTTCAGCTAGGGTTGTTGAAACATGTATGCAATGTAAGTAAGCACATCCCTCATTTCCTACTCCCAAAAGGGTAAGTCTTAGGCCTGGTTTGGTACTGAGGTGATTCTGAAAAAAAACTGGTATAAAAAAACTGGGAGCTATTTTTGTGTTTGGTAAACATTCAGCTTCAGTTTTTTTTCACAGTTTTGGGTGAAAAAAAAGCCAAAAACAAGAATCTGCGAAATCCAGTTTTGAAAAACCGGTTTTTTTTTCACATCTGTTTTACATAAAAGTTTGCCAAACACTATAATACTGTTTTTTTTTTCAAAAGCACTTTTACAAAAAAAATTTACCAAACAAGTTTACCAAACACTTTGCTGCTTTATTTCACAACTGCTTATTCTTACAGTACAGCAGAAGCAGTTTTTTTTCAAAGCACAGCAATACCAAATCAGCCCATACAAAATGCATGCCCACTTCCATAATGGGTATATTTTCTTCCTACCCTATTACTTATCATTATTCCCTGGTACTTGGTAAGCTACATAACCAGCAATGCATCATCGATTCTCATGTAATAACGAATAAGATAAGAGTTGTAAAATCAAGGTTCTAAAATAACGATTAAGATAAGACTTGTAAAATCACGGCCATGGATTTGTTCTTATTTAGGTGTACTTTATGATAAGTTAATAAGAATTTCAACCCGTTTGATTAATCCGACGATTGCAATAAATTTGTCCCTGACATCTCATCTCCAGAAACGATCCTTGGTTGAGCATGACTGCATTTCAAGAAGCACCAAAATCTCTTGAATCTAGTTTTACTCTGCTAGATTATCACGATTTAATCTAAATGGGCTTGCATAGACTTTCAGTTACGTATTTATGCAATTATCAAATATAATCACATACTATATATTTCATTAGGGAATGTAACTGATAGTATAATCACATACTTTAGGCATTTTTGCACTGATAGGTCGCTTAGAGAGACTTGTGACATTGCCCTTGTCCTTGATATATTCCTTCTTTTGCATTTTCTTAGTTAATTATTATTCCAACAATAAAAATTAATTCATTAATATAAAAGAAAACTAACTAAAAGTCCACGAAAACTTCCATTTTAATGAAAAATCATTTTTAAAGGTACAGTGAATAGCACCATAAAAATGTATAAATGTGATTTTTCATTAAAATTTTAATGAAAAATCATTTTTAAAGGTACAGTGAATATCACCATAAAAATGTATAAATGTGATTTTTCATTAAAAGTAAATATTACGGGAAGCGCTTTGTTAAACCTCCCTTATTATAAAGCATATACACTTTAAACTGCTTTAGTGCCCATTTTTTATCTTCTTTTTTTTTAGCGCCGGTTTGTGTTTGGTATGATAACAACAGATCAGTTGAACTGTCATTGTCCAATTTGTGCGAAAGCAATTCTTCTTGTTCTTTTTCTTTTTTCAAAGGGCTGGCATGCATGGACTATTATCTTTGACTCTCATCTTTTAAATTTATAGACGGTTAAAATCATCTTCAAATGAGATATCAAATTTTAAACCTAAAATTTAAATTTGACAGTTTACATGGTATTTTGACATTTTTTTAAGTTTTGTTCTCCAATCGATATGCCAAATTTTAAACATAAAATAAAAATTCATATGCATTTTCTTTGCATTGGGAATGAAAAGAAACAAAAGGATAATGCTTTAAACCAATAATAAACTAATAAAAAGCATTTAATAATTAATTAAAAAAATCTGAAGGTGCTGTCAAATTTGGCAGCAAGGGGAACATATGTCATTCCATATCATGCCACATCAGATTTGGCTTCTCGGTTGGAAAACATTAATGTTGTCTTTTATTACCGTTATTGCTGATTTGAATATTTTGACATCTCCTTTGGAGATGCTTTAAAAAACACTCACTCACATGAACGGCTAAGGCTAAAATTCACTCACTCACATGGATAGCTAATCACTCACACTATATTATTGGTGCAAATCTATATCTATCTATTCTATTAAGAGAAGAGGGCTTGTCAACTTTTTGCCCCCTTTTTCCCTTTTTGCCCTCGAAAGTAGGCAGGGGGCAAAGAAAGAGCAAAGGAAAGGCAACTCAATCTCGGTTGAATCAGCCGAAATGAAAAAGGAGGTTTGCTTTTTGATACATAATGTTGACAAAAAAGAGGGTAAAATAGTAATTTTGTATATTTTGACAAAATGACAATCATATCCATATTTTCCCTATTTTACCCTCTTCTTTTTTTTTTTGAGAAAATAACAATCGTATACTTATTTTTCCAATTTTACCCTTACTTTTGATACATAATATTTACACAAGGATGACAAAATAGGAAAAAAAAGGGGAAAATTTTGACAAGGAGGCTTCTCTTAATATAATAGTATAGAAAAAAAATGTACTTATTAAGAGAAATTGTTCACACATACAAAGTATGTGTTCTCTGCTAGTGATTATAAATAATAGTTTGTGGGAACAATTATAAAACATAGCGAATATGGATATTTAGAACATGGAGGATGAGTTTGCTGAAGGCCTACCCCAGCTGGAGCCGAAGGGACGACCCCAATTCAAACAAGCACTAATTTTTTCAGTGCCATGCATCAATTAATTTTTAAATGATATATATGTCTGTATTTTTATATGTATACATTCATACCATTGGTATAATTTTCAGATCGGATCTGGTTTGTTCCAGTTTCAATTAAATTAATATGCAGTGACGTCAAACGAAGACTTCTTGATAAGTACAAACAATGTAAAGATAGGACCATACCAATAGATATTTGGGAGCTTCCGGACGATTCAAAGCATGTTTATTCTCTTTCTCAAAACAGTAATTATGTAATATTAAGGTAAAACATGCACTTATTAAGGGAAATTGTTTTACCATCATTTTTTCATACGAGTAAGTGAAATCATGATATTTTTTAAATAGTTTGAATAACGGTTGCGCTTAAGGATAATGTGGGAAGAGGTGAGCGGTTGTTCACACACACAGAGTGTGTGCTATTTGCTAGTTTCTTTATAAGAATTGCATTTTTTTAGTACATTTGTAATGATAAATTAGAGATTTTTAAGGAAAAGATTATCTTCCCAAGTTCCCCGATTAATTAGAACTCTTTAAGGGCTGGCTGTCAGCTGTTGACTATTGTGTACAGAAATCGCATTAAAGCTGCTGTACGGCTCGAAATGATGGCCGCACGCGATGATATTGATGCTGTGGTCCAGTTTCAAAAAAAAAAATATATATATGCTGTAGTCGTGATTTGGGATGGAAAATCTAGAAGGTGGTATGTACTTTTAGTCAGACAGAAGTGTTTGGATGAGACAATGATGACCTTAGATATCTTAAAGTGCGTTAATTAAAGAAAAGCTAGCCAGCAACGACTGTTTGCACTGATTGGAAAACTGATAAAAATGACTTGAAAACTTTGAGTTTTAACGATAAGGACAAAATAAAAGATAAAATGAATAATACTAGAATTGACTTTTTATTGTAAAAATATGGTTTTTCATTAAAGTGAACAATATTGAGAGCTTTTCGTTAAAGTTCCCTTCTTTGAATGACATAGGTTTTATATAATTGAATGCAAATTGAATGGAAAATCAAGATATTTAGTTCTAAAAGGCTCTATCAATATATATGTTCTTCGGATCTCATCTTGAATATTTGAAGGATAATCCTTCATTGAAATTCTTTGTCTGGGGTGTTGCAAACCAAAATATAAATGAACGAAATTACCTGGAAAATGTAGAAGCCTTGAGTGATGAATGATTATTGGGATGAGTCGCGGACTAAGTCGCTCTCTTTAAGACATTTCACGGCTCTGCCCAAAGTGTGCAAGCAGTTCACAAACACCACGTTATCTCCATGATAAAACAACCAGAACCTTCTTCTGATAAGATTCTTCCTTGCATAATGGAAGAACCTTCGAACTTGCACCCTTTCGATATGTTGCTATAAAAACTTCATTTCAAAAATTACATATAAACTTGTAGTATTCTCTATATCTATTTAACATTGATACTCGGGACTTATATTTATATACAAAGTAAAGAAATAGATGTTGAAGGATTAAGAAATTAGATGCTAGAAATCCTGAATAAACCAGAACGTAAAAATCAAAACGGATAGATTATATATGGAGGTGGACGTGATCTTCTTCTCTATATGGCATCTCAAATTTGTAAGTAAGAAACTTCCTCACGTCTGTCTCCAATATATTTACGAATGGAAATTACTCCTAATGATAGTTATACATATATATATATATATATATATATATATATATATATATACAGGGAGCTTAAGGGGAGGGATCCCCATTTTTTCAAAAAAAATGGGGACACGCTCCCCACCGTTAGATTGACTTTAATGAAATTGTGTGGTTGAGATTAAAACACAGGCCATAGAATCTCAACCACATGATTTCATTTAATTCAAATCCAACGGTGGGAAGCGTGTCCCCATTTTTTGAAAAAATGGGGATCCCTCCCCTTAAGCAATTCCTATATATATATATATATATATATATTTCTAATAAAACAAATCATATATATATACGCACACACATTAATTAATGAAACCCTCATTGTCAATAAAAAAAATAGTGAAAAGATAACTTAGTCTTCTATCACACAAAAAATGATGGACAATTATGTAATTTCACAAGTCTAAATTTTACTGTTTTTATTGAAACCTTACCTACAGTGATGTTATCTCTAATATTTAAAATATAAAAAATAAAAAATAAAAAAACCAAAAACAAAAACCTCCCACTCTCCCATGTTCTCTTTCCGTCTTTCTTATTTTCTAAAAAAATGTGTTCATACACACAAAGTATATAGTCAAATGCTAGTATTATATAAATAAAAACATAACTTCTCCAACACGGGATCTCTCTCAAAATTATCCAAATCAACTTTTAACTCATTTTGTTGTGAAATAGAATTACCCCCAATTGGATAAAAACTATTTGGAATTTGAGGAGAACTGTTCGGTCCCTTTTCAACGTTATCCCTACTTAAAATTGATTTTCCAACTGATTCTTGGAAACAAAAATAAAAACTGGCAGAAAGTAAAAAGTGAAAAACTTTCCTTAACATGGAATGCGAGACGCAAAGTTAAAAGCTTTCACCTCTTCTTCTTCCCTTTTCTATAAATACTCTTCCCTCCCACCTTTTCAGAAAATCGCACACACCCTCTCCTCTGTTCTCTCTCTCTGTCTCTCTCTCTCCAAATCCCAGCTTTGAATCCATGGCTCGATTACCATCATTGTTAATTTCTCTGTTAACCATCCTCGGCCTACAAACATCAGGTAATAATCTCTAATCCCTATTAAATTTCCAGCTTTATTATAATTCTGGGTTCAATTTTGTTAATTTGTGTACGAATTTTGCTCTGTTTTATTAACATGCAGGTGTTGTTTCAAGGACATTCACAATGGAGAACAAGTGCGACTACACAGTGTGGCCGGGCATTCTCACCAACGCCGGCGTCTCACCTCTGCCGACCACCGGCTTCGCCCTCGAAAAGGGCGAAACGAAAACTATCTCCGCACCAGCCTCGTGGGGCGGCCGCTTCTGGGGCCGAACTCTCTGCTCCCACGACTCCGCCGGTAAATTATCCTGCCTCACCGCCGACTGCGGCTCAGGAAAATTAGAATGCTCAGGCAACGGAGCCGCCCCGCCCGCCACTGTCGCTGAATTCACACTCGACGGCGCCGGCGGGCTTGATTTCTTCGACGTCAGCCTCGTAGACGGGTACAACCTCCCTATGCTGGTGGTCCCCAATGGCGGAACCGGGACCAAGTGTACGAACACCGGCTGTGTTACCGACCTCAACGCCAGCTGCCCTTCCGAGCTCAAGGTCACCGGTGCCGACGGAGCTGAAGCAGTCGCGTGCAAGAGCGCGTGCGAGGCGTTCGGCGAGCAGCAGTACTGTTGTAGCGGCGCCTACGGTTCTCCCGACACTTGCAAGCCCTCTCAATACTCTCAGATTTTCAAGAGCGCATGCCCGCGCGCATACAGTTACGCTTACGACGACAAGACCAGCACCTTCACATGCGCCGGTGGCGACTACACCATCATCTTCTGCCCATCGCGTAGCACCAGGTAAATCTGCGGAATTATCCCTTACATTCTGCTTCCCTCCCTCCTTTTTCGACCGTCATAAGGTAGTTTCGTCCTCCCGATTAGCTTCGTATAAAGCCTGTCAATAGAAACGTTACGTAACTCAACGGAATATCCCAAGGGTCACTAGTCATTATCAGTGATGGGCACTCAAAAAGGGACGGCGGTCAAAAAGGACGCCTTTCCCGCCGACCCTATCATTTTAACTGATTAACTAAATATATTGTCACCTCCGCACGCATATTTCATAGAAATATTAAAATTAGTTCATCGAGAAATGCTACGGGCATTTTTTGACGTAGATTGTCTGCCCTCCTATTTCGGTGCCTTTTTCGTGCCCTCTTGTTTGTGTGGTCAAGTTTAAGTTACGTTAACATTTTATATTATTATTTTTTTTTGTTTTATTATTTTTATAAAAAAATAATATAAAATATTGACGTGACTTAACCGTGACCACACAAAACAGAAGGGTATGGAAAGAACACCAAAATGGGAGGGTAGACATTCCAAGTCCCGTTCTTTTAAGATGATATATGAACTCTGCCACCTCTCAAATTTAATATTAATATTATAAAGGTCGCAGAGAATTTTGTGTCAGCCACCAAATAGATTAAACAAATGAAGGTAAAAACGGTCTTTTCAAATAAAGTGGTAAAGTCGTGCACTTATAGAAGAATAAGACCCTCTTCGTTCATGGTAAATTATGCGGTCAGTTTTCATCAAATACTATTCATATTCAATTTTAAATAAAAATATTAAAATGATTTTGTTTGGACCCGATTTTACATCATCGGCCCGAGCAATCGAGGCCGTTGAATAAGCAGATATTAAACCGTTGGATGATAAGGTGGTTGAAATGATTTTTTGAAGAGTAATATTATTTTAATCATAATATTATCTCTTAATATTAACTAGGATAGTTAAGACCTAATTTTTGATATATCCAGTTGGTTGTTTCGAAAAAGATATCTGATCTGTCTTCAAAGGATTGCACGGAGACATTTGAATTGGCTTATCATATCAGACTCCAAGTGTATGCAGTCTCCTACGTGTTCTGTTTCTGATATAGGAGTGGGTGGTGCAGTTCAAATGGACCTTGAATTCATGGACAAGGTTAAAGCACGTGGTTTATTTTTCTTGGGATATGATGATGAATTTCATCAATTGTTTTTCAGAATTTAAGATGATGAAGGAATCATCATGCATGCATGTGGTCCTCGTGTGGGGAGATATACTTGATGGATTGGATTGGTGAAGTGATTGCATGGATATAAACTTGTTTATTTTATGGAAATAAACTTGTTTATTTGTGGTGATATGATACCAAGCCTAAAAAGGGGGATAGGTCTTAACCTATGGCACGGAGCAGCTGCACTAGTTTGAGTTGCGGATGAACTCTACTTAATTATCTGACCGTGGAGAACAAGTATTTCAGTCCTATAAATACAAGATGCCGTGCAATATTTTAGGGACCCCTGCAAATCAATACAAAATTGTCCTGCGCAAATTCTCACAACTTGTGATTTTTCTTTTTCCTTTTTCGCTGACACATCTTCCGTTGGCATCAACAGCACTGTGGAAGCAACTGGTGATATCTTAAGTCGGCATAGATAGCTCTATCACCGTAGAGTTAATCGGTCTCGCAGTATCTTCCGTTGGCATCAACAGCACTGCGGCGAGAACGGTTGATTACCAATCCAAGTCTCGGTCGAGAAGGGTTTCTAAATCCTTATTGGTCGAGGTCATCTCATCAGCTTTCTCAGCGAAGTGAGGTGTTACAATTATTACATTCGGCACATTGAAAGCCGAATTTAATATTGAACTTCGTAAGAATAGTAACCTTGTCTTCAGGTTCGAGAGCCCAAGAGGCCGAGACGTGTTCCTTTCTCGGCCGCAATCGCAAGACGCAGAAGTCAGTAGCGTGACCCAACGCAACATCAACAAATTTACTCCTCGGCCGAGCTCGGCCGACGAGTTGGCACGCCCCGCATTCACCGAAGGACGTAGTTAGCTCATTAATTACTCGGCCTGCGCGCCACGTAGGCTCTGTAGTTTTTAGGGTTAACAGATTTATAATCGCACGATATACGATAAACAGATACGACTTAAAAATCTCCAGGATCCTCACAAAGAAGATCCGAAGAGTATCCTCATTCCTCATAGAATTCTACATGCTGTCTCTGATGCCGGAGCAAAACGCATATCCCGATGCTCTTTCGAAATCTAGAGATTCGATTCCCTTTCTTAATTAATTAAAGCTCAACACACACTCCAAAACTCGTCACATTATTTTTGCATGGTATTTATTTTGTAACGGTAATTGTACTGACTGTGAATATTGTGCAATTTTACAGCCAGAAAGCATCACAGGATAACACCCAGCCGCAGCAGACAACTACACCGCCGTCGACAACCACCTCAACCTCGCTGCTGGAGATAAACAACACAATGGAGCACAAATGCGGCTCAAACGATGATTCATTTTCGGCCGTGTCCATTCACACGTGGACCCATGTGTGTCCATAACCCAATTTAGGTCGTGGACCCTTCAACTTTCCTTTTTTGACCATGAGATGTCCTTAATTATTCACTTTCTCTGTGTTTAATATTAACATTTGAGAAGTGATTTTCTCAGTCTCTCTCTATCAATCACCGCATTTTATATTTCATGAAAAAATATATTAATTATCGCAGTTTCTTTCGATCAGATTTTGTGCATCAACAACGTTTCTATATTTTCACAGGGATGTATTCATAATTATAGTTTGCAGACTGTGAGTATACATGATGGCTAAACTAATTATGTTAGAGTTTGCAATGACCCTATCATCGGTAATAAACCCTAACTAACTTATGTTGACATTATGACACATTTGCGTCATCCATGGCATTCCATGGTTATTCTTTCTTTTAATTATTGATGTTACCATGATCCTTAGAAACAAATATCCCTATGGACTTACTTTCTCATCATAATCAAAATATACCACAAAACTAATTAAGAAGAACTTGTTTCAATTGGTGAATTGAGATTGTCAAATGTAAATTTAGCTATCTAACTAATGCATTGGTACATCCCACATACAAGTAAATTATAGAATTCTCGACGATATCGTATAACAATCTTACATTAACCTCGTACAACAGGTATCGTATGTGTTAAAGACTTTTTGGAATAAAATTTGTAAATTGAGTTGTAACAAGTGTCTGTTTATACAATTTCACTTTTTTTTGTAAAATGTGGCTCATTTGATCACTGTAAGTATCAAGTGGGTAAGCAAATAATAATAAGGTTAAGATTATATGTGCGGTGGGTGGTGACTGTTGGAGGTTTCGAATTCGAAGTAGCCAAGGGAGGTCGCTGTCAAGAGTCAAGAGTCAAGTAGCACACGTCCTTCATTTGGCGGTGCTGCTGCGGCTGCTGCATGCTCATGTCAGCTTCCGTCATACGCACGATGGCTCATTGGCTGGCTTGGCCTGCCTAATCCACGTTACCACCACACCACACAATAATATTTCTAACCCTTAATTTTATTGATCTTATTTTATTAAATTTTTAATCATATGAATTATGTATATATAACTCACTGTGGACTGTGGAGCGCCGTATATTCCATTCCACTCTGGTGTGCGTGTGTCTGTGTGTGTGCCCACTCAACTTCACGCACCCCTCTTTTTTTGTTGGTGCTTCTTCGTCCACCTTGCAATTTGGTGTTTCTTCATCTATGCTTCTTTTTTAATGTAATTTATAGGTACCGGTCCACCTTATCTCATTTGATGCTTCTTCAACAACGAATTGTTTAATCCTAATTCACTTTGTTCAGGATTTATTGAATAACAATATGCTTATTATATGGGGTTTTATGCGGTTGATATGAAGTTTGATTGGTTTCTTTGTAACCAAAAATTGTTTTCCCCTGGCCCTTAACGATGGAACGCGGCCCCTTCTTTTTTGACGCGGTCTTCGAATAAGGTCTGAGGTGACGGTGGTGTGCAAATTACTAAGACTCCGAAACAAAGACGATTGGTATGAAGATCAGAGATGCTCAAGTATATATGTCGACAACTTGGCATTGTAATTTGTAAGTCTTTATAAATTCCAATTTGTATAAACTATATATAACAAATGCGATTAGGAATTAATTAAATATAAACTACATGAGGATAGAGAAAGCGATTTAGAGGGAGAGCCAAAATATACTTGGAGACAATAAAAAGTGCACAAATTTGTGACAGGTTGACGAGTAAATGACTCTTTGTTTTGCATTTTTTCCTTTGGTAAGCTATGTCTAAAACTTTATTCATTTTATTGTTGGATTGAAGAACAAAGATCATTGTCTTCCGTCAAGCAGCTTTTTCTTAATACTGATTGCCAACCTGTTTGCAATAATAATTGGATAGTTTAATTTCTCTTAGTTCAATTTTAGACGTTCTCCATTGTAAGTGTGCTGTCACAGCCCGTGTCGGAATTTTTAATTCCGAGGACATGAAATTACGGAAATGTCCCTAATACGTGACTAAGGTATAATTTTCACGTTCGTTATATCTAAGCTCCAAAAAAATTTGGTAATTGGAGTGGAGACTTAGACTTAAATTTTATGATGGAATTTTATGAAATTGGGATTGGTTTGGACATGTGGGATCCCCACACCTCAAAACCCTCCCCATTTCCCGTATACTGTCCTTCATACTCTCTCTATTCCTCAGCTCTTCCTCAGAAACTCTCATTCTCTCTCTTCTTCTCGAACGCACGGGCAACCACCAAAACCACCTAAAACCTATACCAACGTCCAAGTTAAGACTACCATTGCAACCCTGAGGACTTCACGATCACGTAGGTACCATTTTCAGGTAAGTTTCATTTCGAAAAACCCTAGTTCTAAAGACCCCGTGAATGTGTACTGTTCATGATCTTTGAAGTGGTTGTGTTTTAGGCCAAAATAAGATCATAGCAAGCTTATTGAGGTCCCAAGGAAGCTCGG